TCTCATTCTGTAGGTTTTTCTGAATCCAGCTTTGGTTATAGGTGCCCAGATGGTTATTGCAATCCATAGTATTTTTGCCTTTTCTTGGCAAATATATCAGTTTCAACTTTTCATACACATGACAAATCCAATCATAGAAAACCAAATTCCATAACCATCAGCCTAGATTACAGCAAAAGCTAGGCATTGAAGCTGCCTTGATGAATTTCTAGAAACAGCTTTTCAAACATTGTAGCCAACTTGCTTTTGAAAATGTTTTTCCTCCTTCAACTGTAATTTCTCCTATGATAAATGGGAGAAGAAAACTCCTTGTGGACAATAAACCATCCTCTTTTATTATGCATAGACTGACTGTACATAGTGATTTCCTATTTTGCTGCATTATTCTTGCATTTTGGTCACAAAGTCAGCCATATGTTTAATCTGGATTTGGCATTTGTATCCACCTATTGAGTTCTTTCCAGGGACCTGGGATACAGAGATGTTGTTTGTTGATGTTAAAGGTATCATCAGGGAATGTAAACTCTTCCAAGAAAAGCTTCCTTTTGCAATTGACTGATGATTTTGACAATGCCAAAGGTGATCCAAAGGTTTGGGGGTTGTACCCAAGGCACCTATCACTAATGGTAATATCTTTTCTTTTCTTTGCCACAGCCATTCTACTTCTATTCGCAGATTTTTGTTTCTGGGGTTTGCTACAGTTCTTTCTCTTCTCTTCTGCTGTCTTCAGGTATTGCAATGACAATTATCCAGCTTGGTTTTTTTTGTCTTTCTTATCAACAATTGTTAAGTCTGGGATGTTCTGTGGTGAGTGCTTGAATTCTAAGATCCCAAAGCAGTTTAGTGTCTTCATTTTCATACTTTGTGTATTTTGTGGTCGCATCAATTCTTGCTTGTAGGCAAGTGATATTTCTTGCAGATATTCCATTGTACAATTATTGCTACTTTGTCTTGCCATTGTTTGCAGTCAGTCTGTGAAATCTTTTTTCAGCAGCTAATCAGGAGGCCCACTGTTTCTTCAGCTTCTTGCAGAGTCAGTGCTTGCTATCTCTTTCTGTCTTCTCAATTCTGGTTTGTATGCATTTGTTCTTAAGGCTTGGTCTCATGGAGCCAGAATTAGACCCTCCATCTCTCTTTGTTCAAAGTTTCTGCTCTTAGCTATTTCCAGGTCTTCTTATTATTTGCTTTCCCTGCTATTTTTCAGCAATTTGAAAGTTTTAGTAAGCAGGTAATTGGCCTGGAGTTCCCTGATGTTACCCCTTTTGCTGAGTCTTTCATTATCTGATAGGTTTTGTAAAATGTTAGCCACTCTTCATTTCACCTTATTGCAGTATGTTCTTAAATTGCTTGGCAACAAGTGATTGTAGACTAGTCAGTTGTTCAACCAAAATCTATGCAATTCATCTTCACCTGGTGTTAACCAATTCTTGATCTTCCTTGCCCTTTCCTCCCTCATTTCTGCTGTTATTACAAGTTCTTTCATTTCAGCTTCTTTTTTACTCTTATCCACTGTCTTTAATCAAGCTGCATTTTTGTTGTATTTCTTTGGGTTATCCCACTTCTGTCCCTATTTCTTCCTTGTCAAGCACTGTCTGATTTAGTGAAGTCTCCCCATTGATGGTAGAAACATTTGTGATTGGATTAAAATTGGAGATTCTGTCTATAATTTGCAATCTGAGCTTCATATTTTCTGATATTCTTGGTTATAGCTGTTATTTGCTGCTTTATTGTTCCCAGTGTTTCTTTGATCATCTTTGTTTCTAGGTGATATTACTATTATAATTTTGAATGATGCAGTTAATTCCAAAGCAAAATTAACCAACTGATATTTATCTATGGAAAAAATTGAAAATAAACATAGAACAAAGGAAGAAAACTCGCTTTGCATTATTCTGATACAAATACAACACTCTCTATAATGTGATAAATGGAGATGATCGTTCCCAACAATTACCAGATTATTTTGTGGATTTTGATATGACAGTATATAATACAGACTTATTTTACATTTACATACTTTAAAAAAATAGCCTCTATAAAAACTCTCTGCTGGAAAAAAATTAATCGGTTCTATTTATTACTTTTAAGCTAAAATAAGTTTTTTTTATTATTTTTATATAAAAGGCAATTAACCAGCATAATATAGTAATAAGTAGAATACACCATAAGGAGCTGAACTAAAATACATGCTTTATGCAGTAGAGATCTGGTGTTTCAGGAGATTAACAATTATGACCGCCAGTCTTCTTCTGTTTCTGTAATATACCACACAATCTTTTTTAAATTACTTTATTAACCTTTCCTCCTACCACAGAAGTGCCCGATTATAGATAATATTTCAAAATCATCTGAGGTGTAAGTGTGTTTGATTTGCTTGGTAATTATTTGTCTACTTTATTACAGTGGCCAAGCACACAAGCTTCCTGATCACATTCATTTCAAGTCAAGAACTGGGTCAGACCATTTTGTGCTATCTGTTCCCTTAGTTCTTATCCAGGATACCTGGAATTTCATACTGAAATTGCTGGTGTGTCTAATGTTGAATCAGACCAATGACCCACAGGTTGAACTCAGTAACTTCTTGCAGATTGTGCCACTGCTAATTCTGCTATTTTATGACTTATTCAAACAGCCCTTTTCCTTGGCAAATAGACTATGAACTAGACAGTAACTGTTGACATTGCAGCCTATTTAGATCATTGTCTTCTGGAGCTACATGATCATCCAAATCATGACAGAGCACCTAGGCACAACTTTCAAAATAATTGTCTGGTTCATTGATTGATTGATTGACTAACATCTTCTTTTTTCTTTCATTCACACATGACTGCCTGGTATGAAATCATCCACAGAAGACCTCCCCACCTGAACATAGTTGATTGGAAATCCTTTAAAAGGTGGCTCCAGCTAAATAGACAGTCTTTTTATATATCTTTTGCTTCTTCGGGATAGTTCAGTTTAAATTTTTATTCAACTACATTTATAAATTATACAATTAAGTGCAAAACCCACACTTCGCTTTTGAGTGGCAAGCCAGAATCTGCAATCCCAAAAGTACTGTGGGCTCTGATAAAGCCATTCCAAAGGCGCATTTTCAAGAGGCAACTGGATATTCTGGTTTTTATTTGAAGATATTTCACTTCTCATCTAAGAAAATTCTTTGGCTCTGAACCTGAAGAAGCTTCTTGGATGAGAAGCAAAATGTCATCAAAGAAAAAACATAAAGTCCAGTTGCCTCTTGAAAAGGCACCTTTGGAACAACCATGACCTGGATGACTGAGAATCTCCATAGACATCTGACAAAGCAAGTAAAATTGACTTACATTTTATTCAATTAAATGCAGTTCATATGATTGCCGCATATAGTAGTTTCCCCAGTATGTACCGGAATTAGTGTTATAATATGGTGAGAGTTTTGGTTGCTGTGGTTTTGGAAGCCTACTAAGAAACCACATGACTCTCATATTTAGTTGATGCGTTCTGCTCTACTGAATTAAATTCTTTTCCACCAATAAAAAGAACCCTTAAGTCAGTGATGTTAATAGTCAGGTCTCCCTCATGTCAAGTTCAGCTTCTGTTGATTTTAGAGACATGCCCAATGGTTTTCTTGGAAATATTATCAAAGTTCCTTGGCATTGCCTTCCTTTTTCTAGGATGGTGGTCTCCCATCCATGTGCTAACTAGGTTCAAATTGCAGTTTCTTAGGATTAGCCAAGCTCCAGCAGCTGCTGCAATTTTCAGGATCCTTAAATTTCTTGGATGAAATCCAAACTTAATCATATTTACAGCAACATGATTAACTTCATACTGGATCTGCTTGTGAAAGTATTTAAGTCAGGTTTCAATCCTTTGTGTAGCTTCCCAGGCAATACATTTCAGTGTACCTGATTCTGTTTCAAACTGCCCTATATCCTGCAGTGTAGCCTATGCTTCTCCTACAAGCTCTGTCATAGAAGCCTCAGGAAGAGAGGAACTTCTTGGAAAGGGGAAATAAATGCATGTTTTTTTATTTGTGGGACGGACGGGAAAGGTGAAGAGGAAAAAGAGGACATAGATACTTTAAAAAAAAAAGAATAAATCTGAAAGCCAAGGAAGGAAGGAAGGAAGGAAGATCAATGCATCTTGCTGTCCCCAAATTCAGAAATCTCAAAAACCTATTTGCTGGTCAACTCAGGCACCTAAATCTCCAATTCCAATTGCCCATTTATGTGTTATATGGTTGTGCATTCCCATACACACAGAGAGAAACACATACACATACATCTCAGCTCACAAAGTAAAATTCAATGTCAGCACAAAGTTGACAGCAAATGATTATAACAGCTTCGTTGCCTGAAAAAAAAAGAGTGTAAATAACTAGGATCCCCCGCGGGCTCTCTGTGCCTGCATTCATAACAACTGTGATGGACAGCCAGTATGGTAGGGTAGAAAGGGAGATGGGGTTGTGTGAGAGAAAAGTCCCCAAGAAGATATGTGTGTGCAAATGCACACACACACATACACACATACATACACACACACATCCCTCTTCTGCTTAACTGTCATCTTTCTGACTAAATATGCTACTTTCTTAGTGAGAGATGCTTCATACAACAAACAAATCATTTTCAGTACAAGTGCTGCTTTACATGGGGTTCAAATTGTGCAATGCCATCATCATCAATAATCTATGCATAGGTGGAGTGCACATGTGCCAGTGAGTGGTCGAGAAAGAAACAGTGAATTTGTGGGTTATCGGGTACTTCCTATTAAACATAATTGAGGACAGTCAGGTTGACCACAGAAATGTTTAAAGCTACAACAAATGTATTATTTGAATTTCCTCCATTGTGAATGTAGATGTCTGCTATGTTGAATATTTGATAAATTCATACCTTTTCCATAAGTTTGCTTCAGTTCTAAAAATGTCCACCTAGCAGTTTGTTAAATTTATTATTTTACAGTGAACATTTGCGATAGTGGTATCAGAACAGGCAATTAGATTACAATTCCCCTTTCAGTAGCAATAGCAATTAGACTTATATACTGTTCCATAGTACTTTAAAGCACTCTCTGAGCAATTTAGATTGTCAGCATATTGCTCCCTCATTTTACCAACCTCGGAAGGATGGATGGATGAGTCAACCTTGAGCCAGTCAGGATCGAACTCCAGGCTGTAAGCAGAGTTAACCTGCAGTACCACTGCACCACCGGGACTCAATCTTTACAGAGTTAGACCTTTCAAGCAGACACATAGGCAATTTTCTCCATCTGACAATGGGAGTGGGAAGTATGTGCATCCAAATTCACTTGCATTTGTTTTCAGAACTGAAATGCTGTGCTGGAAAATCCCCAAGAATCTGGTTTGGACATATATCAGCATGTGTACAGTTGAGTGAAATTGATATCATTTTGTTTCCTCGACTCAGGGAGACAATGAGCTCTAGCTCAGATCATATTTATAAGAAATATCTGTTGAGGTAATTCCCCATTAGGAGAATGAGCGCATACAGGGAGACATATTTGAGAGTAGTGTTTGAATAATACACATACACAGCACACAGATACACTGTACAGTAAATGTAGGTTTTTACTTCCAGAAAGGTTTAAGCAAAGTTCAAAATAGGCAGTCCAAAGTCATTCATAGGTAAATCAGTCAGTTTTTCAATCCAGGGATAATCCAAATATCAAAGTGCAGTGTCAAAAAAAACAGTTCAGTAACAGATTTACATTAACTCCAGAAATATCAGTCAATTACAAAAAATGGAGGAATGGCAATACTTTCCAACAGAAGGAAAAACAGATTCACTCAGACTTCTTCTGAGACTAAGACTAAACAACCCAGGTTTCTGGCTCCATCTTATGGCCGTTTGAGAAACCACACCTAATTACAGTTTTGCATTTTCTTAAAGATACAGTTTTTAATTGTTTATTTCTTACCCAAATAGCTGTTAGGTGACTCATATTCTTAACAATACCCCAACATAAAAATGAATTTATAAACTCTAATTTTAGAAAATATCCTATTAAACCAGAAAGCCAACAGAATTAATCATAGGAGAAGCCAATACTAGGGAGAAAAATATTAGGGTAATTTCATCCTAGGCTTATACCTTCTTTCCATCATTCAGTCTTAATATGCCTAAGGATACCATTTTCCCTCTACTCAGGTTCCAAGGCAGCTTTATAGTAGAATGGATTCCACTTGATAAAAATTGCCCATGAAAGAGACCTAAAATAAGATGGGTTTACGACATCAGCAAGTATTATGGGCCCAATTGACAAAGAAAGCTTGGGACCATATTGATTGGAAATATGCAAAAGAGGCCTTTATACACACATACACACACACACACACACAGTGTCAACCCTGAAGCTGACCTGGGTGAAGCCATATTGGAGGTTCAGTGTTGCCACACTGGAGCGAGGGATAGGGAGAGAGGATTAGAGATAGCTGGGCTTGTGTAGTCAAAATAAAATACTTTCTTGAGACTTTTTTCTGGGATCCAAGGACATTCTCACAGCTGGCCAAGAGAAGGAGGAGTGATGTCACTAGACCAGCGGACTCTGCAATGATTGGGCCATGAGACTGATTGTTTGGGGTTGAGGGAAAAACATTTACTTTTAATTAGGAGAAAACCAAGGGGCCTTTTAGAGCTGGTTTTCCCCAGATATGTGCCAATATGATATTTCCAATAAAGCTATTCTTTGAGGGATTCACCTGCCTTGGAGTTCTTGATTGTAATGGGTTTATTACTTGGAATCCTGACACATGCGTTCATATACAGAAACAAGGGAAAGCATGTGATCTAAGCAAGGGGGAATAACGGGAAATCTGACAATGGTAAGCTTATGCTTCAGTCTGTGGTCCCAGAAGGACATCATGTAGGTATCAATTGTAATGGAATTAAAAAAGAGGTATCATCTGAACAAAGTCCTTGTTTAGGAACCTTGGGAATTCAGGAGTCTTGCCTTTGACATGGAAAGTCTGAAGACAGAGGAACCAAAACAGGTTTCTAGAGAGAGTTAATGATTTGGATCATGTCTCAAAGGTGCTTTTTAAAAAAGCAACTGGACTATGATTTACCTTTTGAAAAAGCACCTTTGAGACAACCATGACTTAGATGACTAAGTATCTCCATAGCCAATTTTGGTGATACTTCAGGTTGTAGAATCTAAAGCATTTCTATTTCCTCATCCTTCTGCATTGGAGAAATTAATATTTCTTTTGAATAATAGGAAGGGAATATCACAAAAGAATGTTGAAAAAAATAGCATAAATAACCATTATCATATTCTGTTCATGGTTTGCTGGCCTGATCCTGTTAGGAATTGATAACTTGGCCCTGGCCACATCAGATTTTCCCTGTTCTTCATTCTTGGATTGCACTGCTACTTCTGAATTCACAATTTTGTCTTGTTATCTTAGTACCAGGAAGCTAGATATAAACAGGAAGCATTACTTTTAAAAATTAAATTATAATTCTAATTAACTATTTAATTATATGCCTTTTTATGTCCCTCCCTCCTATTATATTTCACTGGAGATTTCTATCTGCAAATAAAAATGTCACATTACTGGCATCTTGCAAGGTGGGGTATTGGCTCTAAGACATTGTGTTAATTTCTCTATTCTGAGCAATTGATATGTAATGCAGGTGGTCTGTTCAGTCCAGTTACATTTTCTGCAATATATCAAAAACACACTATTTCATTTTTTAAATCACATTTTTAAATAGCTGGAAGAGATTAAAGCACTCAGCCTTTCACCAGTTTAGAGCAGCATCAAATATTCATTTCCATTTATTTTGTAAATGAAATATGTACAGCCATTCACATTTTTGGGGTCAATCCATGGGTCCTTGGGTGCAAAAGTGTGTAGTACCTTTCCTGCTTTTGCCATTGGTCATTTGAACCAACCACTGCCTCCCATGTCATAAAGCACAACTTTAAGCTTCAAGTCACATGTTCTGGATGGTGAGCTGATTCAGAATACACTACACCCATAGCATAACTATGGCAAAGGGTCATGCTGTGTCTGCATGCTTTGAAATAACGTATGCACAAAGGAGGAAAGGTATATTTCTTTCAAAGGCAAATTTGCATTATTTGCAATCAAGCATGGAGACTTGGCTGAGAAAAAGGTTTCAGTGAAGAATTTCAATTTGAGAAGGGATTAGAAAGGAATTCTTATAAATTTTACCTGGTTTAATCTAACAGACACACAACATGAGATACAAAGGTATACTTTTGCTTCTCTCTAATATTTTATTGTTTGAAACATGAGGCTTTATTGCTAACCTTTTTTTCTGTCATTCAGGCCTAAATTTTGCATTGCAGATCTCAATATGAATTAAAGTGCTTTTTTACAACACAAATTTAGACAAAATAGATTTAGAAATCTGTATTTGCAATTTTCAGGGGGAAAAAAACTTGCCAAATTTCACAAATATGAATGGAAAGAGAATACATATATACAGACAGAAACACACAGAAACATATATACAATAGTGTATCTGTAACTTCTTGTTTTAAGATGGAATGTGATAAAATTTGCAAGGTTGTAGTCTCAGTGATGGAGAACACATATTCAAAATTTCAGAGAGATAGGCTGAGAGTTTTCTGTGCAGAGGAAAGTTACATTGATAAGAAATGATAAATGTGGTAGAGCTGGTAGGCTGAGGTAGAAGTAAAATTGATGAATTCTCTGTTCTCTATAAAACAAACCAGTTGCTGTGGCATATCAGCTAACTCATGCATCTTGGTAAAGACTGTCAAACAACTCTTTAAGCCAAGAATCTGCTCAATAGTAAGGAAGCACTCTAACAAAAAGAATAAATTTTTTTTCCAACCTCCATGATGGTCTCCATTCCCTCATGGTGCCATGTTTGAGACAACCAATGATATTTGAACTTGAAGATCACTTCAATTTGAGGATAGACCTGTCAGTCATTGGAGTCCTTTCTCCTCTTCCATTTTATAGTATATAAACATTGTTTTCTCCAGCTGATGCACCATTACTGTAGTTCTTCAAGAAAATGAAAATCTATTCCAAATTACCTCCCTTTACCTCCTGCAAATCACTAATATGCTTCTAGACATTGGTGCATATTTAGTATTTAGTTCTTTAATTCCCTTTTTTGTGTTTTAAATGTTAAAGATTATAAATTATAATAAATATATATTTTATTATAAAAATAATAAACAAGCTAAAACTAGTTTAAATTTAATTTTCTTCATGTGTCTCCATTTCACTTAAACCAGCTTAGTAAATTAACATATTATGTAATTAACAATAAAGCCAGGGAGTTGTATACATGACATAAAATCAATGCAAACAGTGGCCTTGTACACTGTGTCATCTTTGATTCTTTCTCCATAAGCAGGGCTTGTTATCAGTACTATAGGATGCTGAAATTGTGACTTACTAATGGAAAAGTCAAAAGTGTTGATACATTTTCTTCATAAAAACCAATGCAACCTAGCAAATTCAAATGCTAAATTTCAACCAGAAATTCAAATATCATCTTAATATCAACAGAGTGATGTCACATTTTATTACCTCTCTTGAGTTGATACAATTGTATCAGTGTTTTAATGCTTGATACATATTGCCCATAATAAAATGTGTGCATAAATAAATCTAACAAATAACAAAGAAAGTCCGATATTCAATTGCCAATGCAATAATAATGTTCTCTACTTTTATTACATTATGCATTATTTAATTACAATGATCAGAATCTCTTCTGAAAGTAAAACATAATTAGAAAAAAATTATGTATGGTAGATCTATATATCTGATTTATACTTTTGATGTTAGCTTTGTATTAAGAATATATAACGTATCCGTTCAAAATGATGATATTACATGAGTTTGTTCTTTTTCTAATTAGTGCATTTCTTTTTAAGTTCCCTAGCTACAGGAGATAATATTTCAGGGTTTTAATGAGCTTTTTAAGTATAATTGATGTAACAATCGTCAAATTACACATTTCTACCTGTGGAATAATGAAAGAAACAATTTAATGAGATATGCAGTCATTATTAGTAAATGAGCTTCTAAGCCACCATTGATAACATTAAAAAGCATACAGTAGTGCAGGGGGACCTGGTTCATACATCAGCATTATATTAGAATTTTTACATCTCAGATTTTCTATTTCAATTTTTATTTTGTTTAGGGCTGCACTGAATGTTAGCTATTTTCAATTTTCAGACTGAAATGATGTCACTAATTTGAAATTCTCTCTCTAAAATGCTTTTTAAAAACTATTTCTTGACACTCTCACACCATTCCAATTTTTAATTCTCAAGTCCTCAGAAACAGTTTACAAGTGATGCAGAGGAATTTTGTCTAATGCCTTTGAACTTTCGTATTGCAGAAGACTTTTTAGGATACTATTAGGCTGCCAGGAAAATAAACCAGTGGTTAATAAAACAAATCAATCCACAGTTCTCACTCAAAGCACAGAATTGACCAGGCTCAATTTTTCCTACTTCATACACCTTGTACAAAGATCCAGGTGTCTAGACAAGTCTCTAATGTTGAGAAAGGTAGAAGGAAAGATAAGAAAAGGATCTGGCCAGACTTAGACGCAAGGTGATGGGTACACCATTGGGAGACCAGAGAGAACAGGTTAGGGATAAATCATCATGGAGAAAATCTATCAATCAATATGCTTCTTCTCTGTATCATAGATCTTATATTTGTAATGTTAGATAACCTTTATAACTCCCCCCGGCCCGGTGGATTTAGAAATCTGATATTTGATTAATATCAAATTTCAAAATTTCAAAAGCATCACATGTGCCCATTGTGCATGTTCCTAAAGTAGGAACCACTGCTTACAGTTATTCAGAACTTAGTCACCTTTCTATTGACTGTTGCAATAGTCTACATGGGGTTCTCCTTGAGGAACATTCAGATGGCTCAGAATGGTATAAAATGCAGTGGCATGTGCAATTTTGGGCACACCACAGAATCTTCATGTAACATAACTGATATGATAGTGGGTCCAATACAGAGTACCTCTAATACCCTACATGGCATGGGACCAGGTTTGTTATGGGAACACCTGTTCCTAATATTTCTCATCATTCCCACCCAACCTGACAGAATGGGCAAGCTCCATATTCCTTCAGTGTATTAATCACCTGTTGGGTCTCATCAGGAAGCACGTCATTTCTGCCATGTTGTTTGCCATACGGAATAGTTTAGCTTAGAGTTTAGAACTAAAGAAGCTTCTTGGATGAGAAGTGAAACACTTTCAAACAAAAAAAACCCTGAAGAAAGTCCAGTTGCCTTTTGGAAAAAGCATATTTGGGACTCTCCCAGTGATGTGGATAGCACTGCTTTTATTGGCTTTTTGGAAAACCGTGAAATCCTTGCTTTTCTCCTAGGCATTGGGCCAGGGTATTAGTTACTGGCATTATGGCATGGAAACATGCAAGGCTGTAACTTCATCTTTAGGCAAATTTAGCCTGGGTGCTGTTTCCTAGATTTTCAGCATAATTCAAATTCAGCTCAATAGCAAAATTTCAGTTTTCCTCACAAAGAAGTGATATTTAACTCATTTCAGCCAACTCCAACTGTTGGAAAAAATGAATTCCCCCCAATTCTCTTAACGGCCTGTAAATGCCTCCTCCAGGGGGTATTGGGGTATATGAGAATGTTTGGCAGAGTTGGGGCTGTTTATGGGATATAGGTAAGGAAGAACTCAGGGCAATCTTTTCTCCATTGCTGTGCATTCTTTCCCCATCAAGTAAAGAGGTAACTGTGAAGTAACCAAGCAGGGAGCATTATTGTTTCCTATATTGAGGAACAGAAAAAACAATACTAAATATACCTTATCACTGCCACACTAGATATGATTCTGCAAATGCATTCCTTTGCCACCACTGCCACCTGGAGATTCAGAAACAGCAGGTGGTGACAAGGAAATACATCTCTAGTAGTTAAATTTAGTTTCCAATTGACCCAGAACATATATTTCTTATTTGGGGTTAATTTTGGTTGTTCACTCTCATTCCACCCACTATCTACTTTCGAAAATGATCAAAAGAATCAACTAGTTGGTTGCTCCTTGGAACAAGGAGCAATAAAGCTGAATATTGTAAGTATTTTGGCATCAAACTGTCGAAGTTTTGGATGACCTTGCAAGACATTATAATCTAGATACCAAGCAGCATATATTATGCCCTTCCCAAAAACAAACCTTCAGTAATGGAAAAGTCAACACCCAGGATTGAAATAATAGCCTCTCGGCACTATTGTTAGACATGACTGCTCCCACAAACCTCAAGATTTTCCAAGGCAATATTTAATATTTAATAGTTAATGATGATGAAAATTGGCTAGAGGTACAAGAGAACCAGGACAATTCTACTCTCCTTATCCAGTTCCTAGCATGACCAAAACAGTGTGTTTCTTTGCCCAAAGCCTGATTAAAATGGATCCCAATGATAAGTACTTTTCATCTGATTTGGAGCTATGAAGCTGCATTTTTTTATACCTTAGCTGAAAATGACTTGAGACTGGCTAATAATTTTCTACTGTTTTTGGATCAAAGGAAGTTTTTTTTTTAGTAATAATTAAGCAAACGCTTCCTTTAAGCACAATAATAACTCCTCATAAGGAGACCCTGAACATTTTGAATCATGGGCAGTCATGATGAGCAACAATTAAATAAACAGGTGATAATCTTCTACCTTCAATCTATAATTACACATTTCTAGAGAACCTCTGTGCTTACATTGTAACTATGTTTTACTTTTAGTGTACTCTTCCCCATTTCACATATTCATTTGTCTGTCACCCAGCATTGAGATATGGTGTTGACAATTAGTTGTGTAATACAAGCCCAATATTGGTGAGGCATCTGCAGATCAAATTGAAAGGAGTGTGATTGTTATCATCAACAAGAAATCTACTGATGATAAGTTTTACTAGAAGGCTTCCAGAGATATGCCTTATTAATTGTGAAAATATGTAATTTCAAGATGCACCGCACTTGATGAAATTGATTTATAGTGAAATCGCTATCCCACTCAAGTTGATGGTGGAAGGGGTACTACTGCAATGACAAAGCATTCCTACTAAGGGCTACTAGTCCATAAGGATAGTCAATAGGAGTACAATGATGAATGAACACATTGGTATGGTGTTGAAGTGTCCTTGGTGCTGTCTAAGCTTGTTTTCTTGCAAATGTTTCATTTCCCTAGTTAGGTCACTAGCACTGATGATGTTACCTAGTTAGAGTAATGAAAGAAACATTTGCAAGAAAACAAGCACACTTAGAGAGCACTAAGAGCACCAAGGACCTCTCATTCCAACCCTGAGCTACAAATATTCTCCTTTATTGGACCGTAAATATATTTGTATTTTGTGCCATATCACTTTTTTCCCTATTTAAAACCATCCCTATCTATTGGACTGGATGGAATATGTGCCTACTTCTTAAAAAAGCCATCCAATGCCATAGCCGAACCTCTAAGCATAATCTTTGAAAAATCTTTCAGGACCAGCTCCTTGCCAAACTTACGGTCACTAGCCACGGTCATCCCCATCTTCAAAAAGGGAGACCCCAGCCTAGTTGAAAATTACAGACCAATCTCTTTCTGCTGCATCACCTGTAAAGTCATAGAATCAATTATTAACCAATCCATTATCCTCCACTTAGAGACAAACAGCCTACTGTCTAATAAACAATTTGGTTTCAGAAAAAACTATCCTGTAATCTGCAACTCTTACACTGCAAAAACATATGGACTACACAACTTGATCAGGGAAAGCAATAGACGCAATCTACATAGACTTCTGTAAAGCCTTTGATTCAGTGGTACATGACAAACTACTCCTAAAACTGAAATCTTATGGTATCTTCGGACACCTGCATAACTGGATAGAAGCATTCCTGTCAAACAGACAACAAATGGTCAAAATAGGGAACACCCTATCAAACCCTGTACTTGTCAACAGTGGTGTTCCCCAAGGCAGTGTTTTAGGACCAACTCTCTTCATACTCTACATAAATTATCTCTGTGCTCATATTAAGAGCAACTGCATTCTCTTCGCTGATGATGTAAAGCTATTCAACACCACAGATAATTCTGCTACCCTTCAAAAAGACCTCAAATATGTATCAGAATGGTCAATCAAATGGCAACTTCAAATCTCAACAAATAAATGCTCTGTCTTACATATTGGCAAAAAAAATCAGAAAATAAAATACAAGCTGAATAGTCAAGACCTTGTTGATGATCCAAACTCTGCCAAGGATCTTGGAGTAATCATCTCTAATGACCTAAGTGCTAGAGCTCACTGTAACTACATAGCAAAAAGGCATTAAGAGTTGTTAACCTGAGCTTCTGGTTTGAGTCTCTTTGGTGATAGACTGAAATCTGTGATGGTGCATGGTTTTGATCTGTGCTCGCCACCAGAGCGCTCCGAGCCAGCTGGTTTCAGGGCTAAGCCACCCCTTAGAGGTGGTAAAGAGGGGGGAGACTGCCAGCAGGGTCAAGGAAAGCCGCATCTCTCTTCCCCAGCTGGCCATTACTCCCTTTCCTGAAGGCGGTTGCAGTGGTGGTCAGAAATGGCCACCTCAAAGAAGAACTGAACCAGAAAAGAATGTGCAGGAGGAAGATAAGAAGAGAAAGTTTTGGTCGACTGGGTTAAACTGAAAAAGCAATAATGTAAGGTACCCTGGAATTTAAACTAAATACCATTGTTCCCAAAGATTTTGAAGCAGCGAAGGAGAGAAAAAAGGGAAAGGATTAGGGTTTTTTTTTCTTCCCTTTCATATACTGACAGCTAAGAGACTTAAGCAAGAAATTGAAAAAAAAATCCACTTTGACATTAATAGGCATTTAAGCGAAAATAAAAGTCAGAGGGATAATAAAGATTTCTGGATATTTAAAAAATTTTAAAAGCAGGAAAGGAGAAAAAAAAAAGAATAAAAGAGTAGGATCTGGAAAAATGGAGGAAACTGCCTGGAACTAAGGAATGGAACTGTAACTAAAAGGAACTTACAGTGAAACTTTAACAAGATTCCCCAAAGATACATCCTAACTGAAACTTGGCAACAAAATAATAGAACCCCAGGAGGAGAAAGTGGAAAAAAAGAAGTAAGAAGAAACAGCCTTGGATTATTTGGATTACTTGGTGATTTTTGGTTTTTGCATCTAAAGGACTAAAACTAATTGGGTGGTTGTTTAAAAGTGTTTAAAATGGCATCACTCTTAGAAGAACTGAGAATGGAACTTTAAAAATGGAAAGAAGATGCACAAGAAGGGAGAGGTTCTTTTGGCTTCATATTTCAATTCTTAGATATGGAGAATGACATGTAGAAATCTGATTAATACAATCAGAGAAGAAGCCCAGAATTTGGATATCAGTTCTATCAGGAGTGCCTATTGCCATGTGTTTTCAGAACAAGAAATGGACTGTTAATTCTCCTCTGATTAATTTTAGTTTGACATCCTTTTGACATATCTTTTATAATTTCTACCCTTATTATAAGGATAATATTTCATTCTATTTTTGCAATAAGAATATTTCTTTATTTCTTATTATACCAATAGAATCCAATCTCTCACAGTTCTAACTGCATTCTTACATTCATACACAGCACATTGTTCTCTCCCTTAGCATTTAATCTCTTCATAGTCTGCCAATGTCAAGAGGTTCAGATTAAGCTTGTTAAAGATCTGCTTCACTCTTACTCACTGATGATTATTTATTTAGCAGTTTTATGTAACCCTGTCATTGATAAGCACTCTATTAATTTGCTGAGGGACAAATCAACTCTAGTTATTTTTCTATCAGCTATTAGATTCAGTAGTAGCTGTTTGCAACCAACTGCTTGCCAGTTAATTATAAATTATGGGTGCTCTTTACCTACATTAATTAATATCTCCTCAGCTTTGTAATAGTAGACAAATAAATTGAAGGCAAAATTTATTAGGTGATATATGCATTGTGTCTCTTGATTAGTACTCTTTACTTTTGGAACATTTATACTTGTTTAGATGGATTTGATGGCAGCACTCTTCCTGCAAGAGCTGGTTCCTGGGCTGCATTTTAATTTTTGGGTGGCAGAATCAAAAGGTGGTAGCCACCTTTCACAGATTAATTGTATTGCCAGTCTGTAAAAATAAAAGTGTTTGACTTTCCTGGACAAGACTCAAAGGGATCAAAAATGAAGACCAACCTCACTTTGCTTTAAGGACTATTATTTTCCATTGTTTATGCAGATGTTCTTCCCACAGAAAATATTGTATCTACCATATGTTGCAGCCTTTTGCCTTAAGAAAACCCAGCCCATGCTGACTGGCCTATTACTCACCACAGAATCTTGGGAAAACTTTACTGGGTGAACACTTTACATGGAGTGTGGTAGACCCATTGATGGTGCTTCAGAACAGCTGTGTTTTCATTTGCCAATCCTGTCAAAGTGTGAAACTGCATGCTGCTACTTCACTGCTACTGGCCTCCTCCAGTGGAAGTGAGAGAGAGGGAAGGAGGAAGGAAGGAAGGCAATGGTGGTTCTCATGAATGGGAAAACATGCTGCTGCAAGCTGTACTCTTTTCTAAATACAGAGCAGTATTGCTCTGGTCTCAAAAAAGCTGGCATAGAACCAGAAAAAGGCAACTTTTCTCTCAGAATGAACCAATTACTTCTGATGTGACAGCTCTGAAGTCAGCTTTGAACTGGAGCAAAGTCCCCATTTGGGGGTGTTCTGAACTTCATTATTAACTTGTATAAACTGAACAGACTCTAGGAACTTCCCAATAGCTTGGCACAAAAAAAAATGAACCTACTCAACTTTCCTGATTGTCACATTCTGTTTTCCAGAATAAAACACACTAATTAGATTTCTTCAACATTCTTACATTGTGTGCTTATACAGATTGAGCAGGTCTTCAGATAACGATTTCAGGGCATATCCATGTAGGTAAGCTAGTTTTTTTGAGTTACCATCCTCCTAAGAAAGCACATTACAGAAACATTTCTTCCTAAGGGAATCTTTAGGAAAAATATTGAGCTTTATCTGGACATGTTGCAATGAAGGTTATACAAGACATTATTGGCTAAAAAGATTGTCAGTCTTCCCATCAACCTATTTGCAAGCTTCCAATTCTCCAATATTTGGTTTTGTTTCAAGATCCTTCATCACACAAAAAGAGTTGGAATGTATTCAGTTGAATACAGCCTTATCTGTTTATGATGAAAACACAACAATTTGAAGCTCTTTCCCATAGAGAATTATGTTTACAGCAAAGTTTGTACATTAAACGATATTGCTTATTCCTTATTGTAATTACAATGCATATTGTAATTATCTTCCATCTAAATATACATATTCATGCTTTCAGGTCTTTTTTCAATCTCTATGGCTTCTCTGATAATTCTTTAGCTGGGTAAGCATGAATAGAATAGATGACTCCACCAGACTGTCTGGAAGCCTGCACTCACAAACAAACAAAATCTCCACGTCACAAGCTAAGAAACACCTGGGCAGCTCTAACACACCCCAACCAGGCACCCAGATGAAACCTAGCTTCCTAATAAATGATAGCTGTCCGTTTACCTGAAGCCAAGCCACTCCAATACAGGAAATACAATGTTGCCAATCAAGACAAAAAAAATGCTACAAAACAGACAGAAGATATTAGAAACACCAATCAAGCAGAACACAGCAAACTTCAAGACCAATAAACACAGACCAAGACTCCCAAACAATCAGGATTAAGAAAAAAACATTCTATCACAGCTGTAGTCTAGCACCAAATTTAAAACAGAAACAGCTGTGAAAGCCTGACTCACAGATGAATACAATACACAAGCCTGATGATGGCAGATGAGATTCTGCCTAAATGTCGCTACAACTTTAAAAGCACAACTATAATGACGTGGGAAAATACGCGAACAAAGCTGAATACCATACATGTAAGTACCCATGAAAACTGTATATATATATATATTCATAGATTTTCACGGGTACAGGTATGCAGGTCTTGGCGTGTTCGTGTCTTTTCCCATGTAAGATTGAGAGTATCTTGGCAACGTTTCAACGAGATCCCAGTTGCCATCTTCAGGCTGGTGCTTTTGGCTTCATGATTGTGCAAGGTTGCTCATACAAGCACGAAGCCAAAAGCACCAGCCTGAAAATGGCGAGTGGGACCTTGTCGAAATGTCACCAAGATACTCTCAGTCTTACACGGGAAAAGACACGAACATGCCAAGACCTGCATATATCTATCTATCTATCTATCTATCTATCTATCTATCTATCTATCTATCTGTCAAATGGGAAAGTTACCATATTAATACAAACAACAGACACCTGGGGTTTCTCTTCAGGTTTGAAGAGGGAAAAGATAGTTGAAATAGATTATTTCTTTCCTATTTTCCATTTTGTTTCAGAAGGGATATAAAATTGAGGCCTTGACCATTCAAGGTCACTAAAGTGATCCCATTAACCTTTGGAGAAAGTAAGGCTTAAGTTGGGTTAATTAAACATGATTGCTTCCCAGAGCTCAAAGCCACTTTAATGTGTCAACAGCCTGGTCCTCCTATCATCAAGCTAGCTATTAAACCCAAAGAACCATAGGGAAAGTCCTTTAAAAGATGGGAGGAGGGAGAAAGCAGAATAATTCTTATGTACTACAAATGGAAAAGGTAAGGTTGTTTCTATTCTCACTAAAGTATCTTCAAGGTTTCCTCATGTAGAAATGCTGTCTTTACAGCACTTATCTTCCTCTTGCTCATTGTCATTACTTTTGTATATCCGAGGATATTTTCACTAAAACTGGCAAAGAATCGTAATATAATGTCTTTTTATTTAAAGAGTTTCAAACCTTTAAATGTAATGTAAGTTGCATACTTTGCCTTTTTTGCTACATCTTCTATGCTAAACTTCTGGAAAGAAATATGCAATTCTTCTAGAAATCTGCAATTCTCATTACACCATCAGGAATATAGACTGCATTGTACAGCTTAATATCAAATGACTTTGAAAGACAGTGTTGTGCAGTGTTTCAAGTTCAGTCTATGAAAGGCTATTTAAGAGCATGCAAGAATTCTAATGTAGCACCTATCTATAATATATTCAAGCAGTGGTATCCTTGTCCTGGACCATGCAGATGTATAGACGTAATGATCACTAGATGAGAGATTGGTGCTTAATCACTGAATATCACTATCACTGTAGCAACAGCAGTAGTATTTACTTATATACCACTTCACAGTGCTTTGCATACCTCTCTAAGCAGTTTACAGAGTCAGCCTATTGCTCCCAACAATCTGGGTCCTCATTCTACTCGCCTCAAAAGAATGGAAGGCTGAGTCAATCTTGAGCTTGGTGAGATTCAAACTGTCAAATTACAGGTAGCCAGCAGGCAGCAGAAACAGCCTGCAGAACTACATTCTAACCACTGCACCACCACAGCTCATGGTGTATCAACGGTATGAGCTTATTTGTTTTTATACACCCACTTGTTCCCCACCATCACAGCTGAGCTCATTCCCCATTTCAGAACTCCCGGCCGGGGGGGAGGGGGGGAGATCTGAAAATTGTGTGGGAAATATTTTTATGGAAGAATCAAATACCTGTTCCTGTTCTTGAGGTCTTATCCCCATATTACTCTTATAAACAGAAATATTGCTACTTTCCCTCCAGAATGTATAGCAATGCATAATATTAGCCTTACAAATATAATATTTTCAAATCCATTTTTATGACCAATTCTATTGTATCTTTCCATTTCTTTATCCCTAATCCTGATTTTAAAAAACTTCATGTAGGTGGCCTTTCATAGTAAAATCTTAAATGACCACACCTTTAAAAATAGACATTTTTAAAAACTCTTTCTAGAATATGATAATTTCTAATAATACAGAACAGAGGCAATTTATCAGTACTTCATCTGCCAAATAAAGTAAATTTTTTGTTTGGAAAATAGGATAGAATTTGTGGTTAAACATACCTGGAAAGCATTACAGAAAATATTTCTTCAAAACTGGCCATTGAGACCGTCCCTCAGATATTTTTAGGGACTGTATTGTTAATGTACGAGCTCACTGGTATATTTCAAGCTCACTCATCAGCTTGAAATAGATCTATACTAATTTCCCTTTATTTCTTTGTCAGTAAACATACATTCAACACAAAAATAGTTTATTGTGAATGTGACTGCCCGTGAAGGCTCCTGGATTGGGGCTGAAAGGAGAAAGCAGAAGCAATATGCCCTGTCCCATAATTGGGTAGACCAGGTTGCCCTGATAGATTGGTCTCACAGGAAAAAACACTTGATATATGAAGAGTTACTCAAATCCTTCAAAAGGTCTATTCTCTCTGTGGTTTTATCAAATAAAAGGTGCTCAGAATTCTTGTCCTTGAAAGATTCAAGTCTCCAACCAGACATCCTTTGTTAACAGCAATAAATTTTGCTTGAGATTCACATTAAAAATGCAAAATACTCTATTTTATTATATATATTTATACTATATTGTGAGTGAAAAACTATGGTTTTGATTGTCTAGGGTGGAAAGTATTAAAAGTATGGTTAGCTTAAAAGTTGTTCACATAGAAAGAAAATACTAAATAGCTTGTTTACCTTCCTCATTTGTTAGGGCTTAACATGCTGTGTGAAGCAATGGCTTTTTTCATTGTTAAATATATTTTAGAACATGCAGAAAATAGATTAATTCACTAGCCAATTAAACATATTTATTTAATGTTTTTAATGGAAAATCACTCAGAGTTACTAGCAATCAGATGATTATATACATTTAATATATAAATAATGTCCAGATCTTTTTATTAAGGAATAAAGTAGGAGAAGCAGGAGAGCACTGCTGCCAGCATTAGCCTATCTGGTACTACCAGCATCAGAAGAGGAACACACCCATGCAGGAAAGGGATATGGGTGCTAGTAGGATGTTGGCCACATCCTGAAGTTTAGAAATTTTGAAAATATAACTTAAGCAATTTATCCTTTCTTTCCCACCCCTAAAGAAAACAACAACCAGTGTGCTAGAAGTTAAGGGATGGATGGATCATGACTCCCACTCTTCTGATAATACTAAACTGGGTCAAAAAATAAAGCAATGGTTTCCCAAAAATGCATGCTAATCCACTAGTTTAGAGCACTCTCCAGAATCCAGGCCTGCCAATCCATGAACTCCAGGCATTTGCAGTAATTTAGGTCATTTCCAATTGGAATTCAACACCAGGTGTCAGTGGTGAAGTGCCTGGAGGCAATCAAATTACCTCGTGGTGTCACCTTGTCCTCCTAATGATCCTTATATATTTAAACATAAACATAATAAAAAATAAATGCTTATCCAAGCAGGACAGCTACATATGCTTACCTGGGTGCCAGTGTTTCTCACTTGCTAGAGAGAGAGAAAAAAAAGAGAAAAATAGATGTCAGTGGTAGTTAAAGTAAAACTACCAACATATGGGATGTATTCACAAATGTGTCCCTGGGTCCCCAGTCAAATCCTTATCAAAACTTGCAAGGTAATTGAATTTTGTTCTGTGTCTGGCTGTTTTCCATCAGGCACATGCAGTGTCTGTGAACAAAACTGTAAGCCCTGGCCAGGTATTTTCTCCAACATATAAAGATTTAAAGTGCCATTCATCCTTGCTGAAGGGTCCCTGCATACATGGTTCATATGTGATCTACTCCCAACCTGAATAGGTTGAGTAGGCAAGAGGGGTGAGATGCAGTATGAATTCCCTTGTGAAAGCCAGGCAAGCAGCAAGGCCCATCAGGTGGTGCCTTCAATCATATTTATACCTATAAATACGATTGGATATTTATAGCAACAAATGGGGACTCTGGAGTAGAACTAGTACACACCTCCATGCCCTGTCTCCACTTGTAATCTCAGAAGGCAGGCAAATGCCTGAATAAGGCTTGTTTAATGCTGAGACTTCCATAATTAATATTACAGGTGTGCATTTCTCTTCTCAAAGTAACCCTTCAGAGGTTGCTATGAATGGGTTAACAATTATAGAGTAGGGGAGGTCTCTGATGAGATATAATAAAGTGTAACAGGTAAGATAGATAGCTTAAATGGAAACTCCATTCATAGAAGCATTATACCTCTTAAGTATCAGATCTTTTCATTTGTTTAGAGCATTTTTCACACACACAAAAATCTATTGTACAGTGCAAGAATTGTGAAAGGGTAAAATGCCCAAGACCAAATTAAAGTCAATCATACAAGAAGAAAACAATACAAGGAAAGTGTGTGCATGGTATTACCTATACCAATACCCTTGTGGTACAGAAAACTCCAAATGGGTCTCAGAAACCAAAATGCAGGTTGTTTTTTTAATTGTTATTATTTATGTTAAGAGTAGCTGTATTATTAGGGACTGTGGGCATTGTGGGGAGGCCTTCTAAGACAACTTGACCAAACCTATCCTCTCTCTCTCAAAATTCAGGACATATTCTGACTGGATAAGATCTGGTTTATTGAATAAATTAATCAGATAATAAATAAATTAGCTGGAAATAGAAATAGAAATCACAAATTATATTGGCTGGATTATATTGGCTGGATAGAAATCCAAATTATATTGGCTGGATTCACACCATGTTTTCAGATTATTCCTTCCTCAAATCCAACATGCAATCAGTTTTGCCAGGAATTCTCATGTCATGGACCCTAATTCCCCTGGGAAAGGAGGAGGGCAAGTTATTTCAGAAATTTTAAGGGCTTGTATATGTGATGCATGTCTACCTCCACAATGCTCCTGTTATGCCTCAACAGGCAGAGCATGTACTCTGCCCAAAAGATCTCCAGCACTTTCTTGCAATAATATACCTCAGAGCTAGAACACTGTCTAAGTATTAGGAGAGATATTAGAGCACAATTCTTGAGGGATCCAATCTATGGTTAGGTTAGCAAGGATGTGGGCAGGAGGGCTTATTCATGTTCTTTCAGCATTCCAGCCTGAGTGCCAGTGAAACTGAAATGTAATTCAGTTGTGATCAGTTTAATTCTTGGTAACCCCAGTCCCACTTAAATTCTTAGATTTGTTTAAAGGGTGTGGATTTCCATGGGTTGGTTTGTCATTTCAGCTCTTGCTGCATTATAGAGTTTCATAGCCTCTGATTGCCAATTTAGAATTTTTGTTTAAAGTAGTCTCCTCCTCCACCACCCCCTTCTCCTTATACAATAAGCCCAAGAAATATATTTCACTATTCCAAAGTTGCTGCACAAAGCCACATTCTGCTGTATCGTTCCCACTGATATTGAGAGAAAAAAGTGACCTAAGAAGTCCCACTCTGGTGAACCCTGAAAGCAGTTTTGCAGGAGACCTGTGGCGGTGAGTGTGGAATGTAATTGTCCATATAATTACTGCTATGAAACTGTTTCTGGAACTGACATTACTTGATACCTAATGCTTAATATGGCCATTTGTATGCTGTGCATTAATTCTCACAACCTCCCTATTGGTTAGGAAAGCATTATTATCACAATATGACAAGTGAGGGATTTCATGCAACTTCCCTAAGGGCACACAGCATGCCACTGGCAGAAGTCAGATTAGAACACAGGAGGATCGTCCTTCTAGCCTCAGGTTCTAGTGTCTAGTGGACCAGACTATATTTTTACTTCGGATGAGTTACATTTCAGATTTTCCTCCAGCCATTTTCCACATTAAGCAGGTGTTATCCACATTTTGATTACTAAAAGGACAAGACAAGTCCAAAAGTTTAACGCAAAAAAATGAATTTTAACAAAGAAACAAAACCTTTATAACTTGGCACTTTGTGAGATTGACTTCAGATTTTATGAGGCTTTTATACCTTATGTATGTTCATCAGAGGGCACAGATACATTTCATCAGATTTGCAAAGTTTTGAAGTTAATATTTTTAACATCTGCATAGGGAATAAAGAGTTACATTCCTGGTCTAACTCAACACAGATTAAGAATGTAATAAGAAATTATCATAGTGTATTCTGAGGTAAATATCTAATACAATAAAATAACAAAATAAATCAGAACAATAACATCATATAAGCATTTTTAAAACATCAGCCAGTTGAAAGGTATATTTAATATACCTGGAATTCAAAACTACCCACTGAAATAATATTATTTTCCCATTTTATCTTAAACTGGACAAGAAAGAGAGCCATATTCTTGAAGAAAAATAAGGGCCATTGAGAAAAATAAGAACTGTTATGCTGGAACCTCTTTAATTAATCTAATGGTCTGATTTCATAGTAAACAATCAGACAAATATAAGGAAAGCACACATACAATAAACAAAAACCAGAGAGTCCTCATCTAG